TCGTCTATTTCCGGACTCTATTCTGTTTTATTGATTCATTTATCTACTTTAAGACAATGTTATACTGCATCTAATACTGTAGCTTTATAGTAAATATTTAAATGAGGTAGTGTTAGTCATCTAACATAGTTCTTTTCTAAAGCTGTTTTGGTGATTCTAGGTGATTCTTTGCACTTCTACATGAATTTAGGAATCAGTTTGTCAGTTTCCCCACACTCACACACACGCAAATCACCTTCAGGGGTTTTAAATGAGATTGCACTGTATGTGCATCATTTCCAGGATAATTGATATATGAAAAATACTGAATCTGACCTATGAACATTATATTTGATCCATGACCATATTTTTATCTCTTTATTTTATTGTAGGTCTTCTTAATTTCTCTTAGCAATGTTGTGTAGTTTTCAGTGTAAATGCCTTGTAAATTTTTGTCAGACTGATTCCTATTTCAAGTTTTTATAATTGAAAGTTGCATTTTTAAAAATATTTACTTTCTAATTTTTAACTTATACTATATAGAAATAGGATTAATTTTCTATTGATTTCATATTCTGCAATGTTCTAAACTCATTTACTAATTATAGTAACATTTTTGTAGCTTTCATTGGATTTTTCTACTTTGATGATCATGTTTATCTGTGAATAAAGACAGTTTATTTCTAATTTTCTAATCTGGATGACTTTTATTTTCATAGACTTGTTGCACTGCCTAAAACATCCAGTTGAATGCTGAATAAAAGTGAGAAGAGTGAAGATCCTATTTTTTTTCCTGATCTTGAGGAGAAAGAGTTTAGTTTTTTAACTTAAGTATGCTCTTAGCTCTAGGTTAATGTGAGGCGCCCTTCATCAAGTTGAGGAGTTCCCTTTTATTCTTAGTTTGCTCGGAGGTTTTTTTTAGCAATAGATATTGAATTTTATCATCTGTGTATGTTTGAATAGTTTTCTTTCATTTGTTAACAGTGAATTACACTAAATTTTATTCTATTGTTAAGCCAACAATGCAATCCTGAGATAGACCTTTCTCAGTCGTGATGTATTATTTTTATACTGTTGGATGCAATTTGATACAGTTTTAAAAAATTTCTGTCTATATTCATGAAGACTATTTTCTGCAGTTTTATTTTCTTTTAATGTCTTTGTTTTTGGTAGTATGGTAATGCCAGCTGAAGAATGAATTGGGAATTTTTTTCTTCCTACTCAAATTTTTGGAAGAATGCATGTAAATTGGTATTTTAAAAATGTTTGGTAGAATTCATCAAATCTGGACCTATTTTTTTTTCCTATAGGAAGGTTGTTAACTACAAATCTACTTTAACAGATATAGGGTTATTCAGCTTATATATTTCTTCTTGGGCAGTCTTTGGCAGTTTGTGTTTTTTAAGGATTTTGTCAATTTTGTATAAATTGTCTATTTTTTGGCATAAAGTTATCATACTATATTCTTCTTATTATTTTAAAATTTGTAGGATGTGTAATGATGTAATCTTTCTCAATTCTAAATCGGCATTCATATTTACCCCTGATCATTCTAATTAAGACATATCAATTATATTTATCTTCTAAAGAATTAGCTTTTTTCTTTTTCTTTTTTTTTAAAGGCTTAAAATGTATTTTAATAAGTTGATAGCTTTTTTCTTCATTGTTTTTGCTATTGTTTTCTGTCTTATAGCTCAACTTGGGTCATTCAGTGAATATGGGACAGTATTTTCAGCAGATAGTGCAAAATCAATTGAATATCTATCTGCCATAAAATGAACTTCAATCTGTGTCTAAAACTACATAAAAATTACATAAAAATGGATCATGGACATAAATGTAAAACTTAAAACTATAGAACTTTTAAAAGAAAACATAAGAGAAATTCTTTGTGAACTGGGGTTAAGCAAACATACCTTAGATATGACATCAAAGGGATGATCCATTTTAAAAAATTATGAAACTTCATCAACATTAAAATATATTTGCTTTTGAAAGACATTGTTATTATAATTAAAGACAAATTACAAACTGGGAGAATATATTTGCAAATTGTATATCTGATAAAAGGACACCTATCTAGACTATATAAAGAATCCTCTAAACAGTAATAAGAAAGCCATTCACTAAGATGGTGGAATAGGAAACCTAGTCCTTGTTCCCTCACAGAGAAACAGATTTAATAACAATATAAGTAAAAAAATGCCTTTATGAGAAATCCAGAAGCTAGTTAAGAAGTCCCAGTACCCCAGAGGACCACAAAATTGAGATCATCACACTGAAATGGGTAAGAAGAGCAAATTCATCTTACCCATATCAGCCCCTCCAGAAGCTGGCACAGGTCATTTCAAAGAGATCAAGACTCTTCCCTGGAGGGGGAATGGGGTGCAGGGGAGAGTGTGGCTAACATTGAACATCCTCAGCTCTTCAATGTGTTCCCTGAGGGGCTGGTATCTGTCTTACCACACATGGAGCCCTGCATATGTCATATTGGGGAAAAGACAGCACTAAAGATGAGAAATACACTCTAAAATTTAGGAAATTTCACTTGAGATATTCAGGAAAAAAAGAGTTCTCCCTAGAGCTTATTTTTATGAGAGAATTATCTGTACCTTATAGAGACTCTACTTATAGATTAATGCCAAGATGATTTAAACTTAAATTATTCTTCAACTTAATAAAAATATTGGTGTTGTATTTATAATTTAAAAGAATAAATAAAAATTCTGCTTGGAGGAGAAGAGATTTTATGTTCTTGTTTAACTGACCAAAAGTTGAAATGTTTCTTGAGATAAAGCATGGGAGTTTCCATAGATATCTTTCAAATAACGAATAAGAGTCTTTCAATCATAGGCATTTTATTTAAATTCTGGATGATTTGATGAATGAAAAAAAGTGAGGCTGTGGCCATAAACTGATAGAGAAGTACATATCTATTAGAATTTCTTTTAGAAAAATTAATTCAAAACAGCTAAATTTGTGGGCAAATAAATTGGCATGTTAGAATAGATGCAGTTGAGTTACTCGAAAAACAATGTACTAAGGGTGAAGTTGCCCAGAGAATTGAGTGACTAACTCTGCCTTTAAATACAGATAACATTCTTAAGAAGGGTAACATTTGATTGAGTACTTAGGGGGCTCAGGATAGCTTATTAGTTTTGAGACAAGAAGATATTAGAAAGCCCAAGAGTATGGGAGCTTTAGGTAAGGATGATTGCAAGTACGATAAAAGGATACTATAAGTACTCTTTTTATCCTCATTCAGAGTGCTCAATGTGTAAAGAAAAGAAATGTTCTCTACCAGACAACTCAGGAATGTCTGGAGAATAAGCTCAACATAAATATTTAAAAGACATCAAGATCTTCAACTGGAGTAATGAAAACTAAGCCTTCCTGAGTTTAAATTTTCACTATTCTTTTTAGCTTTGTATCTTTCAAAATGATCTTAGCCTCACTGAGCTATAATTTGCTCCTATGTATAAAGCTAATAATAATTATCATATCACACTGTTGTTTCTGTAATTACATGATTTGTGTAAAACACCTACCAGTGCCCGTAATTTAGAGAGTAGTCAGAAAAATATAGGTCTTATTTTACTATCGTATTTGTCCTCTAGCCAACCTCACTAAAGCAGAAAAGGTGAAAGCATTTCAGAGTAAAGCATTTCAGCATTTCAGGTGGAAACTTTCTGAAGAAATAAGTTGTACCTGTATTTAAGAAGTTGTGTTCCTTGTTAGAGACCCAATATAAACAAAAACACAACCAAAAATCAGCAGTAGTAAACTACCTGGAGATTCAGGATTCAGAGGCCAATGGTAGCAGTTCTAAAAGATACAATATAAGGTGCCATGTCATAGTCAAACTTAAAAACAGAGAAGACAGATGATGTAACTTTAATCTGCCTAGGAGTGAGAATGGGGAAGTCTTAGTTTAGAAGAGCTAGGATCTTCCTAAGAGTTGAAGAACATCCTCTATGGTTAATAAAGAGTAGATGATAGATATTTAAAAACATAAATATGAGTAAAGCATTACAGAATAGCTCAATGATAAATTAATGGTTGAAATTGGACTGTATGTTTTAAGCAAACTCATCCTGGTTGGCAAATAACAGAATCAAAATTAATCTGAATATTGAGAGAGCCTTACCTTTTACTTTTATTATTATCTCAAAATATTATATACATACTTTTCATTTTTATTGCTCTTAAAATTTTTAAAAGTAGGCTAATTCTTCAGGAATATTAGGTCTACTTTCTTAAAATGAATAAAAATGTATACCTAAATTATCAAGGAATAAAATGTAATAATTTGTTTAAATAACCATTTTTCCTGAAGTCATATTCATGACTCAAATATTTTTTATGATCTAGTTCATTCTACATATTCTACATAAACTTATATAATTATCTAGTCAATCACATAATATAGGTAGTTTTAGTCCTGCCTATCTTTTATTTTGCTTCCTTCAACACTGTTTTTCAAACACACTTTCTTATAAATAACTACTTTATTTAGAATGTACTTTAAAACAACAATCTTTTTTTCAATAAACAAATGTTTTCAAAGAGGACCATCAACACTATGGCTAATCTCTGTTACAATTTCCTTTTAATTATTTTAAATAGAATGTGCACCAATAAATTGGTAGTATTACAAAAATATAAACGAATATTAGTTTTAAGTAGGTTCTATCACAAATAAAGCTTAGTAATAAACATTGCATCACATGCTACATTAAATATAATTCTAAATGAAATAATATTTTATAGTCCTGACTAATTAGAATAGAAAGACAAATGAAACAGAATAAATACTTGGCTAAATTTCTTTCATATACTCAGTGGAAAAGGAAAAGAGATGAGAAAAAAGTCTCTATTAAAGAATATAAAGAATTAACATCTTTAGAACAAATATTTTTGTGAAAATAAAGCTTGGAAAGAGATAAAGATGAATATCAAAGAAATGAAAGGGAAAAAAGAAGGAAACTATGGATTGGAAGCTACTATTGGATACACTGGTATTATTTGAGACTCTTTTGTTCGTTTTCTCTATATATAATGCAATAGCATATTCGCTTTTTTGAGAAAGAAACAACCCTGAGTATCACATTCATGAAGGCTTTTTTCACCTGTTGGTTCCGTAAGGTGTAGACGAAAGCAATGGAGATATTGAGCACAGCAATTCCCTTGGAGAAAGATATTCTTTGTTTGACTAATGGTTTAAAATACACAAAGATACAGCTGCCATAAGAAAGGGATATCACAACCGTGTGAGAAGAACGTGTTGAAAAGGCCTTTCTCCTCTGACCAGTTGAAGGGATTCTTAGAATGGTCAAGGCACTATAGGTATATGATATTGTCACCACTAATAATGTGACCACAAGTGTCACCACAGCTGAGATCAATCCTATCATCTCTAGAAGCTGTGTGTCTGAGCAGGAGATCTGCAGGAGGGGAGTAGTGTCACAGTAGAAATGATCAACAATGTTGGAGGCAAAGAAGTCAAGGTCTAGGCCTAAGATGAGTGGCAGAAAGATGACAAAGAACCCAGCAAGCCAACAACTGAGGACAAGCTGTATGCAGATTTTACTGTTCATGATGGCGGTGTAATGCAGGGGCTTACAGATGGCAACATAGCGGTCATAGGACACAGTTGCCAGCAGGTAAAATTCAGATGCTCCAAGAAGGAAGGCAAAAAACAATTAAGCTGCATGGCTGTTATAGGAAATGTTTTTGTCCATAGTTGCCATGGTAGCCAGAAATTTAGGGATGCATGTAGTAGAGTAGGAAATTTCTAAGAAGGAAAAATTCCAAAGGAAAAAATACATGGGGGTCTTGAGGTGAGTGTCCACTAGGGTGAGTGTGATGATGATCAGATTGCCAGTGATGCTTAGCAAGTAGATGAGAAGCAGGAAGATGAATAATGCAACTTTCAGTTGTGGGTCGTCAGTCAAACCTGCTAGGATAAACACTGTCACTCTTGTGTGGTTTCCCATTAATGTCATCTACATTTCCAGGTCTAAATAGGAAAAAAAAAAAAAAAAAAGAAAGAAACAAAATGATACTTCCAATGGAAAAATAACAATGACAGTGTTTAAGGTAGAGTTAGCAAAGCGATGCTTCAGATAGAGTAACACAATGTTCCTTCATATTTTATAGATGATTATGCCAGGAAGAACAATAGTAGTCATTTCCAGAATACCTGGAGAGAGTATTCAATCTATAATTTGCAATTCTACCAAAGAATAATGTATACAATGATAGTAATTGTTGACTGTTTTGCTGTAAATAAATTAGAAGCAAATTAATGGAACTTTTAAAGGATAGAAAAATGTTTCTTCTCTCTTGATAATTTGCAAGAATTGGGATAGATGCCATTTCCTGTTCATTTAAAGAAGTTTGCACACTGGAAACAAAGTGATACCTGTCATAATAAGTACATCAGCCCATGTTTTGCATTTACAGACACACACACACGCACACACAAACCTAGCCATAATCAATACACAGAACTAGCATAATTTTACATCCTTACTCAACTAATCAAACTCAAATGCCTGACTCTTGTGTCATTTACTTTCAAGGCTAATGAGATCCAATTTCAGATAAGTGAATATGAGGCATTGGGAATAATTCTATTTTCTGTTCTTATTAGTATTTCCATTTCCTCAATTTCTGTTATCACCTCCACCCTTCCCAATTTGTTCCCCAAAATGAAATCAGCAGGAACAGTCTCATAATTTCAGTGTGTGTGGCAAGGCACTACAGTTTTCCAATGCAGGTTATGGTTTTGAGAATGGCCCACATAAAGAAAAGAGAAAAGTGAGATAAAATGATGTGGAAGCTAAGAGAAATATATAAATATGGGTTCATGAAATTGAATGAGGCAGGAGAAGGAAAAGAGAGAAAGATAAAGACAAAGCTATATGGAAATCTAGAGACCTAAGAAGAGGTTTTAGAGATAGGGTAGTGAGTTTGAGGAAAAAATTAAAAGAAAATTAAAAATATGTTAATTAGTAAGTAAAAAGTTAAACAAGTTTTAAAATATTTAAATTAATAAGCAAAATGTTTTAAATTAAAAATATGTAAATTAGTAAGTAAAACCATGTAACGTGCAAAAATTTATAAGTAAAAATTATAAAGAGAAAATATTACCAATGAAATTTCTCTATCTGCTTCATTCGTTGTACTTCCCATTTTATTCTATGCCTAAGAGGGTGAGTGATGGCTGGACCGGTGGCGTAGTGGTTAAGTTCCTGTGCTCTGATTCGGTGGCAGGGGGTTCGCATGTTTGGATCCTGGGGGCGGACCCCTGCACCGCTCAACAAGCCATTCTGTGGCAGTGTCCCATATACAAAATAAAGGAAGGTGGGCACAGATGTTAGCTCAGGGCCAATCTTCCTCACCAAAAAATAAATAAATAAATAAAATGCAGAATGAAAACATGAACAATTTTGAGTTCAATGTGGCCTGAAAGAGATGAGGAGTGAGCATTTGGTAAATTTCAACTCATAATGATCCACAGAATAGTGTCCACAGAACTTTTAGGAGGCATACATTTTCCACCATAGGGATATTCAAATATTTGGCTAACACATAAAGAAGTATGAACTCTAGAATACTATTCTCAACGCCCAGCACACACTGAGACTGTCATATTGTTCAGGTTTGCACAGCTAGTAAATTGGAGATCAGGAGTGAGTTTGAAAGAGTGCATTTTCCAAAGTTGTCCTCTTACAAGTACAACATTTTGTACAAATAATTATAGGCCAGATATAGTGCATTTCTTAACAAAAAACAATTACTGATATCTCTAAGGAAATTTTCCTTCCTCAATAGCTTCATCATCAAACACATAAAATGATTAAGGCATGATGATGGGCCCTAGATAAGATAATATTTTTTGTCTTGAGGATATAAAATTATTATTTCCAACCTCTAAAACATACTACTATTAAAGAGGTGGATACATAAATAAAAATAAACATATAAGGACAAATAAAAGTTGTTTCTAGTTATACCTAGAGGAATTTAAGGTGGATTCTAAGATAAAGAAATGAGATCTCCTATGAAGATCATGTTAATAATGTAGGCATATATGAGTAAAAAGAAATGACTGTTATTTTTCACAGACATTCATTTAACATCTACATAATTGTGAAGCAATCTATTATACTTTTTCTTCATTTACACTAATTACTCAATGGCAACAATTGTAGGAATGCATGTATCTAAAACAGCTACATCAGAATTATACCATGTCAGATTATTTCTTTGTCCAACTTCAACAATTACACACACCAACTAACTATCCCCAAAACACACTATAAAAACATTAACAAAATTCACATTACCAAACCATTAGAAGTCAGGGCTGTGAATGCAATGATGTTTAGTTGTGTTAGATATTGCGAATATCACATAATTTTAAAAAAGGCAAAATTCCAAAGTCTAAATTTTTATTGGATTTCACTTTTCTTCTTTCACCGTTTTCTCTAAATAAAAATTTAAAGGGTTAAAAAATAAGGTTAATACATTAATGGTAAAAATAGAACAAAAGTGTATTGAAGTATATCTAACAGAAAATATGAACTTCGAATTTGAGACCTAACAATTCTTTTCATCTTCTTGAGTCCTAAAGTGGTCTACCAAAAACACTAAAAAACTCAAACACCTTTTTAAAAGAAGAAATATACACAGATTTATTCAGACAAAATCATCTCTGCTTCAGTATTTACTTCTTTGATCATCATGCTGAACAGAGCACACTGATTTTCCATTGCTCTCTGAATGGATCTCACTCTACTCCAAAATCTATGATTGTTTTTCCTTATCTATAAATGACAACTTTGTAAATGGTTTGATTAGCTATTTTTATTTTGCAGATTTTTGGACTGGAATATTTAATTTCTCCATTACGACATTTTATGTATTTATATTTTGAACACTTTGCTTTTTTTGTTTTTGTTTTTTTTTTTTTTTTTTTTGTGAGGAAGATCAGCCCTCAGCTAACAGCCATGCTAATCCTCGTTTTTTTGCTGAGGAAGACCGGCTCTGAGCTAACATCTATTGCCAATCCTCCTCCTTTTTTTTTTTCCCCAAAGCCCCAGTAGATAGTTGTATGTCATAGCTGCACATCCTTCTAGTTGCTGTATGTGGGACGCGGCCTCAGCATGGCCGGAGAAGAGGTGCATCATTGCGGGCCCGGGATCGAACCCCAGCCGCCAGTAGCCCAGCGCGTGCACTTAAGCGCTAAGCCACGGGGCCGGCCCATATTTTGAATACTTTTCTGATTATTATCCACTATGTCATAAAAAATTAATCAACACTTGATCCCATGGAGTATTTACGCTTTCTGTGCCCTGAAGGAAAATGTCTAAATATTATGAAGAATTCTCAGGAGGATATGAGATGCAGGAACACCATTCCCAAAGGATCACAAATTTATGTGTTATACAAGAGTTCTCCTCAGGCACTAAATATTTAAAAATAAAAATATAATTTAAAAAAACTACTTTTAACTATTTCTGCAGAGAATTCAGCATAGATTTCCTTAGTATGTCTTCGCCCTCCCACACATTCATGTTTTGAAATCCCAGATACACAGATAAGGATTTAGAAGCAGAACAAAAGAGTTTATTTTAAGTGGTAATAAAAAGTGAAAATATAAGATGGAGAACTTAGCCTGAATAGAGAAAATTGTACCTCTGACTAAATGCACCATTATTAATTCCCCAGACACACCTAATGCTTCATGTCCTAAATGTCCTTCACTTTGTATTCTGAAAGCTGTCTTTTCTCCAAATAGTCTTTGTGATATTCTCTAATGGATCTTAAACTGATATTTCATAACTAAGCATTTTCTCCTTCTTCAGTATTAACAGAACATTTATCTATGTATATAGCTAGCCCTCCTGGGAAATTGTGGTGGCCATGTGACTAAGTTCTGTCCAAAGGATGTAAATGGAGATAATCTGTCGAATTTCCATGATTCAATGTTCTAGAATTGCCCTTTTATGGAGTTTTCTGGGATGTCTTTGCTTCTAGGCCCATCAGGTGACAGAGCATGGAGACAGACGTGCTTATACTAACCTACTTCTCTACACACAACTGTAAATATTTGTATACGCATCCATCTGTATCTATATTAAGCTAATCGTGAGTTCATATTGAATCCTTACCACATGAATCCTTCTACTTTGTTCTCTTGCTTATGTGTAACCTCTCACTCCAACAGTGAAACACGGGCACGCGCCATGTGCCAACGACATACTTCAAACCTGGCATACACGTATCATGGGAAACAACTTTATCAACTAGAGTTCAGGGCTTCTGTACAGTTCCTTTAGACTTTAGTCTTAATGATTCCACTCATTTCCACAGTTCCTGAGGCCGGGACCATTTTCCCCTACTCTGTTAACTGAGGCTGTTTCACATATTTGCAGTCCAGTTAAATTCTTCTGCATTCCATTTTAACAACCTGGATTTTATTTTTTTAATTTGCACACATTAGAATTATTATTTGTGTTGCAAATTTTAAAGATTTTGATCAGAGTGTGATACATCCACCTTTATAGTGTCATATAGAATAGTTTTGCTACCCGAAAAAAAATCAACTCTGCTTCAACTATTTAACCTTCCCTCTCCCAAAGTCCAAGGATTTGTTTACTCTCTAGACATTTTCCTCTTCCAGAAAGTCATACATGTGGAATCACACAGTATATAGCCTTTTAAGTCTGTCTTCTTTCACTTAGCAATGTGTATTTAAAATTCACCTATGTCTTTGCATGGCTTGATACCTTATTGTTTTTATTGCTGGATAGTATCCTGTATGGATGTATCATGTATGTTTAACCATTCACCTTTTTAATAACACGTTAATTCCTTCTCAATTATATAGAAAGCTCCATAAAATTTGCTTACTTGTGTTATGCGATCTCTGAATTTTTGGCCTTTATTATTTTCCTTCTCCCTGAAGAATCTCTTTTTAAAAATA